TTTCCTGGCTTTCACACGAGGCGTCTGAGGGAGGTGAGGCTTTTTGTGAGGGGGCTGCATATGGGCAGCACAGGAGAAGTCCCAGGGCTGGCCAATGATCAAGGGGATGACCCCGAGGGAGGATTGAGAGCCCCTCCTCCCACAGATATAGGGAGCTCCAGACCCGCTCGGCCGGAGCACTTGTCCCTGGGAAGCCTCAGGCAAGTTCATTAGGTGTGGTGGTGTCTGACTTCCATTTGATGATTCTAAGGGGTGTGGCTTTCACATCATCAGATGTAGAGTTCTAGGAGTAGCTAATTTTTAACAGGAGGACCCCAATGGAGAACTGTGAACTCCTCCCACAGCATACATAGCCCTTTCAAGCCCTGCCCTTTCCTTGTTGACAGCCCTGAGAAGACTGAGACAAGAGTTACTGGATGTGTTGCTTCCCCGACTTCCACCTGGGGATTCTGAGAGGTGTGGCCTCAGATCAGCAGAGGGAGGAGCCCTAGTCCTGGCCAATCATCAAGGGGGAGCCCCTCCCCACAGATAAAGCAAGCCTCAGTCCCACCCTATCCCTCCAGTAGCTCCCAGGAGGCTCCAGCTGGTGTCGCTACTCCAAAGTTTCCCGCCACTTCAAGGTTTCCCAGCTTCCACCTGGGGATTCGGTGGGGGGGGGGGGGGGTGGCCTCTGATTAACACAAGGAGGAGCCCTAGTCCTGCCCAATCATCAAGAAGGAAGTAAAAGAAGAGAACCAAAAGCCCCTCCTACCACATATAATGTGGGAACCCAGCCGCATAATCCCTGATCAGTTGTCCCTGGAAGTTCTAGACAGGGTCCCTGGTTGTTTAATTTCCCAGCTTCCTTGTGGGGAATCTAAAGATGGTTAAGGTTTTTTTGTGAGGGCTAGACTTGTGTCAGCATAAGTGAGAGTCTAGGTGTAATCAATCATCAAGGTAAGAACCTTGGGGGAGGATTAAGTGATCTATAACAGGAAGTTGAGGACCCAGCCTAGCCTTGCCCAGGAAAGGGTTGTCAGTTTTCCCATGGAACACAAAGATGATAGCCTTGGCCTGAACAATGCATCCTCAATACATAAAACAGAGGAGGTGTAGACCTTGTTAGGAATAGATAGTATTTTGAGAAGTACTGAGGTTAGTTTGCACTTCAGAACAGAATACTACAGATTCCTATCATGCTCTTCATAATATCTCTAGTAAATTTCATTCAATCCCATCAGGCTGAGCTGCCTCTTCACTTTTGACTCACAGGTATCCCTAAATGAGGGCCTTGATTTGAGCAGATGAGGGCAAGTCAACAGATAGAGCTAGGTCAGATTAGCAACGAGAAGATTCCTAAGCCTTGCTAGGTATTGATATGAGGACTAAGGAAGCTAAAGTGTCACATCTACACTAAAACACATGAGACACTAGCCTGACATACCCCTGCTGTCAGTCCTGGGAAGATTCACAGTAAAGTGCTCGAGAAGTATTGCTACCTTTCATCTTCCTTTTGGCCTAAGAGATGTGAACTCCCTATAAATTTGCTTCAGGTCAGCGCAGTGCTGGGGATGTGGCCCTATCTGAGTGAACACTGAGGGGACCGTCTACCCTAGAACTATGGGGTGGAGGGTCTCACAGAGTCTGACTCCACTCTATCAGTCCCAGGTGGCCTGGAGATGTGCTGGTATTCTAAAATTACAGGGGACCCCTCAATTCGTCTTACAGGGGCACCAGGACCTGGGAAGTGAAGATTTCAGTCTGCAATATAAGGTCAGTAGAGCAGAGGAGGCTCAGTGCTGGGAACCAAGGTGAGGCACATTCTGAATGTGGGCCAAGGGCCCTGTCGCTATCAAACAGAGGGAACCCCACAGCAATGGACCCCACCTTCCCCACTGTCAACCCTGGAGCTTCACACTCTGCTAGTTGGTTGTGTCATGAGGAACTTTCTCATGTCCTCCTACAGGATCTTAGGGCATAGGCCTACCAGAAAGACAGCAAACCTGTGAGGCTCTCAGACATCACTAAAGAAATCTGTAAGTGACCTTTCGTCAATGTCATCATGGGTAAGTTTTTTACCTGAGGACATTAACACTGTCCCTCTCACCCCCAGGCTTGTGGGATCCCATCACAACACTCCTGCTCTCACTCCAACCTACTGCTTCCAGCAGGAGGAATCATCATGCCTCCCTCTCCTAAGCGTCCACGCCTCACCTCTGAGCAAGACTTCCAAGACCTGAATGAGGCAGAAGAGTCCGTGGTTGTGCAGGCTCCTGCAGCTGACCAAGAGGATACCTCATCCATTTCATCTTCTTTTCACTTTTCCTTCCCCTCCACCTCCTCTTCCTCCTCTCCCTCCTCTCTCTCTTGTTCCTTTTCTATGATCCCAGGCACCGTGGAAGAAAAGGAAGTGTCTACTGCTGCAATTTTGAGTACTCCCCAGAGTCCTCAGAGTCCCTTTTCTTCCTCCACTTCATACACCAAAGTAGAAGTAGAATCCAGCAGCCAAGAAGTTGAGGATAGTGAATCTCCCCTTAGAGATGTGCTAGACAAGAAAGTGGGTGAGTTAGTACAGTTTGTCCTCTTCAAGTATAAATCCAAGGAGCTCACCACAAAGGCAGAAATACTAAAAATTATCATCAAGGAATATAAAGACCACTTTCCTATGATTATGAGGCAAGTTTGTAAGTTCATGGAGCTAGTCTTTGGCATTGCTGTGACAGAAGTGGACCCTAACAACCACATTTATATCATATATGACACACTAGACCTCACCTATCATGGAATGCTAAATGATGACCAGGGCATGCCTAAGACTGGTCTCCTGATACTTATCCTGAGTACCATCTTTATGGAGGGCAGCTGCACCACTGAGGAGAAAATCTGGGAGGTACTGAAGGCAATTGAGGTGTATGCTGGAAAGGAGCATTTCATCTATGGGGATACTAGGAAGCTCATTACCAAAGAGTGGGTGCAAAAAAAATATTTGGAATACCATCAGGTGCCCAATAGTGATCCTGTATGCTATGAGTTCAAGTGGGGTTCAAGAGCCCATACTGAAACCAATAAGAAAAAAATTCTGGAGTTTTTGACCAAGCTAAAAGATACCATCCCTGGTTCATTTCCAACCTGGTACAAAGAGGCTCTGAGAGTTGTGGGAGAGCCTAGGCAGTAACTGATGGTGCAGGTGATGCTGCAGCTATGACAGTGCAAGCTGCAGCTATGACAGTGCAAGCTGCAGTATCATGTGCAACAACTTCTGCCTGAATGAAATCTGAGGCAGATTTTTCAGACTGTTTGAAAAGGACAGTAAAGGTTCTGAGTTCCGAAGGGCCATGGTGGAGCTGGAGGGAAGGCAGTGTTCTTTGTGTTCTTGATTTATATGTGTGGTGTCAAGATTTATCTTTTTGGGAGAGTGTATTTTTCAAATAATTTTCCTTTTAATAGCATATTTAATTAGCTTTTGAATCTTAGTTTAGGGGTATTATTCATGAATTTATTATTTTTTTCTTGCTCAAAAGTAATAATTTGGTGTATTAGAAAAACAAATTGAGAAATCTTTCATCTTATTTGTGTGACCTGGAATAGGATAATATGGCACTGGAACAGGAATTTTCTTAAAAATGTAAATGACCTTATCAATAATACTGGAAAAATGTAAAACATAGTGTTTGCATTCCCTTTTCCCTTTTAGTTCAGTGTTCTGTGAAATTAAAGATATATACCTGGATATATTTGGCTTATTCAATAAAGTAGGATGAATTTACTAATTCTTTTATTTACCACACAGTATTTGAGCATTTGCTTTTGGAAGACACTGTGTTCATATGTTAATAGTGGGGATGCTGGGACAAACAAGATGTACCAATGCCCATGAAATGGGAGAGTGTAGGAACAGCAGTCATGGGAAGAAGATGGCGAGATGTCCTCTGAGACTTAAAGAACATGAAAAAAGAGTAAGAAGGTGAGATTCCAGATCTAAGAAGTCAAATTTACATGCCCTGAGCCAGGGTTGTTTGAGGCTTTGGGAATCCACAGTTCCTTCCCTGGGAATTAACTTTATGCTAGGTTGGGTGTTGTCCAGTGCTATACTCTGTGGATGAGTCTTAGTTGGCAGAGAAAAGCCTGGAATAGAAATCTGCTCTGAGTAATTCTTTTTGAATCCTGGATAAATCAGAGAGAAATCTCTGCCTAGGAAAGGTATGGAAGGTATCCAGTGCACTTATCCTGATGGTTAGGATGGCCTTAGGCCTGAGCCTAAGCAACTCCATTTTTTTAAAAAAAGCTTCATTTTAAAAGACCTGCAGTTTCACCAGGCACATCCACAGATCCCTCCAGTATGGCCTCAAACAAGTTACTTCCCCTCACCCTGATAAAAGAGAGTGAAACCCCTGGCAGGCTGTCCTCACCTGATAAGAGGGAAAGGCAAGGAGATCAGGGTGGAGACCAGCAGACCAGATGTTTCTGACCTTAGGGTAAATGATGTCACTGAGAAATCTGGTGGTAGCTGATAAGGATTGAAAGGGGGGTCAAAAGCCCCCAAATTTAGTATAAATGATAGAGCAAATGAATAGGGATTCAGCCAGCCGAAACAAGGAAGCACTCAAGCTGGAGAGCCTGATGAGGACCTGACATCCCATCACATGTCATCCTTCCTGAGCCTCTGCGTGATCCTCACCACTCTCAAACTCTACCGCCTCATCTGGACCTTGGTGACAGCCGCATCTTCTCCCTACGAGCCCCTCCTCAAGTGGTCATCTGCTCCACACCAGGAAAATCCTGCCTTGGTTCCAGACCTGATCACCACAATTTGAATGAGTGTGCATCTGCTGGACTCAAAGCCTAAGACTTAAGACCTTTGAACTTAGCACAAAGAGGGAATGTCTGTCACTAGCCTGTCATGATTAAGTGTGTTTTGCAGTACTTAGAATTAATCTAGAATTGTTTGCTGTGAATTAATTAATCTAGAATTGTTTGCTGTGAATTGATTATGTCTGTTACAGTGCTTAGCATTAAGGATTGTTGTTTTCTTGATTAAGAACCTATAGAGTGAAACTGTATTGAGTAATTTGAGTGAATAAAGCATTGAAAAGGGGCAGAAGCACGTGGACATTCTTTATTTCTCCCCTCAACTGCATATGTCGCAATTTTGCCCCCTCGCAACACTGGCGCAGTTGAACCCGGTGCACAAATGAATTGTTATATATGACACTTGTGTTTGGTGGCTTGTTTCAAATAATACATCTTGTTGTCACAAATATCAGGATAATTTCAAAAACCCTGTCTCTGATTTTTAAGATTACACCTCCTAAAGCAGATTATGTGGATAATCAGTCTCTACCTAGCAGCCTATTTGAAAACCGCTTTGAAAGTGTATTACAGTTTTCTGAAAAATAGGATGTTACCCCTTTGAAATGGTGCCCAGTAGCCTCTGGGCTGGCACTCTTTCCCTGTCCCGGAAGAGCCTGAGTTCAATCTATTGAAAGGATAATTAATGAGGTTATTTTGAGAGTAATTTGGTCAACTTTAACCAAGGGCTAGAATTTTAGTGGAAGATAAATGAATGGCTTATCCTGGTTTGAATGGAGAAGTAGTTGGGAAGGAGATGTCTACTGTAAGATAGAAAATTCAATGTGTTTAATTTAAGAAGCATAATTTTTTATATTCTGTGACCTATTAAGCTATATATTCTCTTGAGATGTTCTGTATAATAAAAAGAGCTTGATTTTCCAGGAGAGGATAGTAGGATCTGGGTTAAAGTCACACTGAAAGAACTATTTAAAAATTCTAATCAATGTCAGGTACTATGCCAGGTATTTTATTTACAGCACATATATTCCAGCAGCCCCCTGAGCCAGGGCATCTCAAATCTGTTTCACAGATGAAGAATTCAAGGCTCACAGTGCTTGGTAATTTCCTCAAGATCACTTGAATAGTAAGTAAAAGGGCTTAAGAATTGACTCCTGGCCTTAATTCATCTAGGCCGATACTGTCCTCACTCTTCCTATCCTGACACAGACCTTTGATCTGTTAGGTCATTTCTCACTTCATGTGAACCAGGCAACAGAAAGTAGGGCCTTGGCCAAGTTATTAAATTATATCTAAAGAAAGAAAGCTACAATGAGAACAAAATACAATTGGGATTTTATGGGCTTTATTTATCTATAATCCTTCTGTTTTGAACCCTAGGCTGGCTGCCTTAAGAGCTGACTCTACCTGGGTGACAGCAATTTTTTTGCAGCCCCAGCACACTTTCACATTACAGCACCCTTCTTCTGGTATCCTGTGTGCTTTCGCATCCATCTCTAGAACTTGACGGGCTGCCAGTTTGTCCCAGCAGCTTCCTATGAAGGATATGCCATGCTCTTAGTGGAACAGAGAATCAGCTGTTCTCCCTCTGAATAGAGCATTCCTACTACATGCAGAAGTTCCTTTGATGTTCCATCCCTTACCCTGGATTCTCAGTGATAAGGAAAGCTCCTTTGATATAATTGTTCATCCTGGACAATGACTCCCCTAAGCATCTTCAACATACTCTCAAAGTGGTTTTCAAATAGGCTGCTAGGTAGAGTCTGCCACATAATCTGTTTTTGGAGATGTAACCTTAAAGTCAGAGAAAGGGTTTTTGAAATCATCCTGATATTTGCTTTAACAAGATGTATTATTTGAAACAAGCCACCAAACACAAACACAGATAAATAAGCTTACCTAGGTGGTAAAAAACCAAAGCTTCCTTCATAAGCCTTGAAGATGAGATAAAAAAAAACATAGAGATTACTATGTAAATAAATATCTATAAGAAGCCGAGTTCCTTTAATAAAAAAAAAAAACCCAAAGTCCTTCTGGGATGTAAATAATGTTTCCTTGGCAAATATTGTCACTCTATATAGCTATGTTCTCTGTTGTTCAACTTATTTCAATATTTTACTTACAAAGAAAAAATGCATATTATTGTTGCAAAAAGTTCTAAAAATACATATAAATCAAAATTATTCCTTTAGAGAGTTCCTTTAAATCCCAGCCCCTACTCAGAAATAACCACAATTAATAAAGGAGATTTATACAATTTAAAAGCTGGTTTCATGCTTTTAAAAAACTAGATGTGCTATAAAGTATACATTTTAACAATGCATGGATAATGATATCTAAACACATCTGCCACTTGCGTTTGCTATTGTTAAGGGTTCAATTGGGTTCTCTCATGATTCATATATTGAAGTAAAAATGTACCATTATTTGGAGATCAGGTTTTTTTCAGAGGCAATTGAGTTAAAATGTTGTTATGGTGGGCTCTGATCTAATGTGACTGGTATCTTTATAGAAAGGGGAAATTTGGACATAGATGAATAGAAGTAATACAACGTGAAGAGAGGTGGGGCAAAGTCAGTCATCTATAAACCAAGGACAAAGACATGGAACAGATTCTTCCTTCTGATACCTTGCCAAAACCTTGATTTTGAACTATCAGACTCTAGTACTCTGGGACAACACATTTTTGTTGTTTATCTCACTCAGGTTGTGGTACTTTGCAATGGTAGCCCTAATAAAAGATGATAGCTACTTATTAAAATGGATGCAGGATCTTTATATAAGAGCACATATGGATATATTTTACTTTGCAATTATTCCATAGACTTCTTAATCATTTATGTACAATAACAAATGATATAAATCTCCTGATGGACACATAAGTTGTTTCTCATTTGTTGCCATTATTAGTGTAACAGCAATCGACATCTTTGAACATAACTTCTTTGGGATATGTATGAGATTTCATATATGAAAGACATTATTATGGAGATCAAAATGAACAGAGTAGGGATATTTTATGTTTTTAAACAGGTTGCTAATTTGTCCCAAAAATGTTTTGCTGATTTCATTAATTTATGCATATGAATTTTTTATATTCTCACATATTTAGCAATATTTTAAATTTTGGTCAAACTTATGGGTGTAAAACCTAAGTGAACTTGGGTTAAGTGATGACATTTTTAGATGGAACATCAAAGCTACCAATTATTTAAGAAAAAAGGCGTTAAGTAGGTGTTGTGGTTTAAATATGAGGTGTCCCCCGAAAGCTCATATGTGAGATACTGCAAGGAAGTTTAGAGGTAAAACGATTGGGTTATGAGAGCCTTAACCCAATCAGTGAATTAATTCTCTGATAG